TGATGGAAAGTAACTTCATGAATGCAGTAATGCTCCTCATAGGTTCAAATCTAAAGGAAAATGATCTAGATACTAACAATTCACATACATTTATACCTGTTTTTTCTAGCTAAAGTGTTGGAAAAAGGGGTTTCTTCATAGCTGAGATCCTTTTTTCTTTTTTTTTAATGTTTCAGTCAAGTATTCACATCCAAGATGGCGCAGAAACTGCTCTTCTAAAGGTACAGGTTGCTGATACATCTGTATTTAATTAGCCTTTAATTGACTGTCTTTAAAATATAATTATGATTTGATACTCTAATCAAAGGTCTAAATACTTCTTCTACCACTGTTCTAAAATGTCATTTTATTCCATCCATTGGAATTACAGGCCTAATGTAGACCCAGGCTAAAAGTAACATTAAGTTAATGGATGGGGTGTTCACATACTTTGGTTTGTGTGGAATTGTGATATTTTTGCATACTCTCGCATGCAATTATCATGCTTCATTGTTGGCAGCACAGGGCTCAGATCAAATCCCCGTACAGCAGCTGACATTCTTTGTGCTCATGTGCTCCTATGCATGCTAACACTAGTGTGTATGGACAACAGCAGGCCTGTGCACACAACAGACGGCCTTTCTTTACCGTTATTTTCTGCATTCACTGAGTTAAAGATTTATTTGAGTACTTTTAAGCAATAACACCCCTTTTCCAAAGTATTGCACCTGGAAGCTGTTTCCCACACTTCTCTATTTTAATCAAAGCCTCGCATGACATTACTGATTTTGAGCTTTCTATTTTGGAACTCCCAGGAACTAATATGAGATAGAATAAGGAAGCTGAGTGATCACTCAGCTATTACAAGTTGGATGGATATGCAGATGCAGGTGTCATAAGGCCAGTCGCTGGCAGGTTCACTACGTGCTTGCATCCTATTTGCATTCTTTAAATGACTGTGGGATCAAGTTTCCATGTCGGTGTATCTCAGTGGCTTTTTTACCCTAGACAGGATTTGCAGATATTGACACAAGCTCTACCTGGGGTTCTGTTGCACACACTGTGAATTCGACAAACATACGAAGCTGTTAATAGAAAAAAAAAAAAAAAAACAGCAACATCCTATCACATAGCTTTTCTTAGTTTCCGGAGCCAGACTCCTGCCGGAGGGAAAAATGATGAGCAGTTAATCCGTTCCGGGGACATACATCGGTCAAATGCACATCGCATGAACTGTTAAGGCTTGGGTTGTAAGAGGTGTACTGGGACACAAATTCAGTCATGGATTTATCCACTGGAATCGGCAGGGTGGGCCGATGTAGGAGATCAGCTTGTGCGGGTTTGTTACATACACACGTGGACAAAATTTTTGGTACCCCTCAGTTAATGAAAGAAAAACCCACAATGGTCACAGAAATAACTTGAATCTGACAAAAGTAAGAATAAATGAAAATTTTATGAAACTTAACCAATGATAATCAGACATTGCTTTTGAACTGTGGTTTAACAGAATTATTTTTAAAAATAAACTCATGAAACAGGCCTGGACAAAAATGATGGTACCCTTAACTTAATATTTTGTTGCACAACCTTTTGAGGCAATCACTGCAATCAAACGATTTCTGTAACTGTCAATGAGACTTGTGCGCCTCTCAGCAGGTACTTCGGCCCACTCCTCATGAGCAGACTGCTCCAGTTGTCTCAGGTTTGAAGGGTGCCTTCTCCAGAGAGCATGTTTCAGCTCCTTCCACAGATGTTCAATAGGATTTAGATCAGGACTCATAGAAGGCTGCTTCAGAGTAGTCCAATGTTTTCCTCTTAGCCATTCTTGGGTGTTTTTAGCTGTGTGTTTTGGCTCATTATCCTGTTGCAAGACCCACGACCTGAAACTGAAAGACTGAAACCACCTTTCTGACACTGGGCACCACATTTCTCTTTACACCATGTCACCAAACAGCACAGTGACTGCTTGTAACCCTATAAATAGGCCGACTGACTGATTACAAGTTTGTAGACACCTGTGATGCTAATTAGAGGACACACCTTGATTGAACATGTCCCTATGGTCACATTATTTTCAGTCTTTTCTACGGGTACCATCATTTTTGTCCAGGCCTGTTTCATGAGTTTATTTTTAAAAATAATTCTGTTGAACCACAGTTCAAAAGCAATGTCTGATTTTCATTGGTTAATTTTCATTGACTTTTTATTTCTTATTACTTTTGTCAGATTCAACTTATTTCTGTGGGTTTTTCTTTCATTAAGCAAGGGGTACCAACAATTTTGTCCATGTGTGTATGAGCGCAGGCACACACACACACACACAGCACGGTTTCCTGCACGCTTCAAATGGAAGGTACACAGTCAAGGCCCTTAAAAACACGAACAGCGTCGATAAGAACTTGGATTCTTTTGGACAGTCCACCAGTTCACCAACACGGCAGCATGCTAGGATTAGTTCCAGTATGACCGATGTCCACACCACTGGTTGCTAGAAACGGATGAAGCATTACAGCTAACAACAGGGAAGAAAATACACTCCTTCTATTAGAACTGACTCTACAACCTGCATAGTAATTCACTCAGAATAGAAACATACACTAAATAGCTAAGATGTAAAATGTGTAAATTAGCAGTAAATGTCAGAGCAGAAAGAACCAAAGGTTATTACCATTCATCTTTCTCCCAGCAGAGCTTCCACTGAGACTAGTTACAGTGACTCTGGTGTTACAGGAACCGATCTCAGGAGGGTTTTCCTGCACTGGAGCTGGCTCTTACACTATTAATCATAGCTGGACTGGGAGCTATTTGAGCCGAAACAAGTAATTCCACTTCCACTTTATTTCTCCAAGTGTATGTGTGGAGTGTGTGGTTGAAACCCAGCGATGTATGTAGAACTTTCCGTCTGAGGCTTTCTTTGGGTGCGTGCTTCATGTCTTGCTTGTCGTGTGTGTTAGTCACTAATAGAGTTGTGTGATTTTCATGTTCATTTTGCCCTGACCGTATCCCCGAGCGTCCAACTGCCATGGTCCATATAGAGCACTGATTGTAGCAAACAGCAGTAATTGGTTTATTGGCAAAGAAAGGATACTATATGGTATTTCTGTGTGGGTCTTTCAGCCATTTCACAAAGCATGGAAGACCTTGTGGGCATACAGTATATTGGTTTCAGGGTTTTTTTGTGCTTTCAGACACTAAATTTCTGACTTTGAACTGTCAACTTCTCAAAGTTATTGTCAAATGTCACCAGTGTCTGTCATAGTTCTGTTACAGTTGTTTCTGTTTGGAAAGCATGACAACAATTTGTCTATCATTGACGCACAATTTGGGTTCAATGTCTGACTCAAGGGCATTGCAGTATGTGGACAGGAGGACTGAACCACCACCCCTGCATTCAGAGGAGCGTCTCTACCACCTGAGCCACCGAAATTCACTGACCTTTTTTTTTTTTAATAATGAAAAGAGGTGTTTCATAGAAAGTAAAGTTTACTTTCCTCAAACTCTGACAAAAAATAAAAATAGAATACAATTATACATATATATACACACTTTTTAAAATGTACAATAACTTTTTTTTTTTTTTTTAGAAGAACCTGGCCTTAATGTTAAAGAGTACACAACCTCCACTGTGGTGGTGCTTCATTAATAACCCCCTTATATATATATCACTTCAGTGTTAAAAAAGGCTTATTATTTGGCCATTTTTACTGGACCATGTCAGAGTAGTATTGAGAAGGGAAAGTAATGGTGCCATTGTATAATACCTTACAGGCAACATGTTTCACAACCTAGAAACTTACTATGAAGGCAACACCACCATCTGTTCAGCTGCAATATGTGCTCTGCTGCATGTGCTGCAGGGAGTGCTGAGAATAGTGTTAAAAAAAAAAAAAAAAAGAGTCTGAGCTGCTCTGCTTGACAAACTGTGTGATGACACCATGTCTAAATTACCTCAAGCACGTTTCACTGCATCACGTTCTGTAAGATGAAAATGTTTTTGTGTCGGTCAATACATCTGCCAATACTGATATGTCTGTGACAGTCCAGAATCGGCCTGTTAATATATTGGTTGGGCAGTAATTTTTACCAAGACATCTGTCCAGAAAATTCTATAAAAGCAGTGACAAATTGAAAATGTAGTCATCAGTTGTCATTTAAATAAAGGTATTAAAATAAAGCCAAAAAAAAGCTTACATTTCAAATTGAGTGGTGTTCATACAGATACCCTGTTCTGTGGTTTTTATCAGCTGCTCCAGCAGGATATTTTAGCAAAGAAAAAAAAAGTCATTCAAAGCTACAAGGCTCTACTCCATGAAATATATTTACCTTTAGCAAATCTGCAGCAAATCCTCATGCCTCAGTGGCATTTTGAGTTTTATGTCGACCAGGGATCTGATAGAGGGGTCTGAGAACAGTTGGTGATATATCTCTTAGTACTATGGCCTAAATTCTACCTTTATAAAAGTTTCTAGTTTTTTAGTGCATTTGCTCTGATTTCAACGCAAGTATGAGCAGAGACTTGACATGTTTTCACATTAGTGTCTCTGCAAGGCTCTGCAACCTACATAACACCCCTCCATACATAGACCTGTGCAAGTGTCTTTGTGTAACATTGAAGAATCATAATTTCAGCCAGTAGTTAGGAAGCACAGAAAACCTATGATAAATAAATAAATAAACAAATAAACAAATAAATGAATAAAAAATCAGACATGCATTGTCTCACGTATGTGCTATACATGCAAGGAAGCCAGAAGTCGGGAGCTAGCTATAGATAGTGTATTTAAAATACTGCATCCCTGTGGTATACTTTAAAAATGGACAACATGATTGTAAAGCAAGATGAAATAAATAAACCAAATCATGTGAAAATCCTGGTATAGGCATCTATGTGTTTCTACAGGGTGCTTGTTAGAGCCCACATGCCCGACTGTGTGAGTTCAGCTGATCTGAGCTGAAGGTGTGCTGTCACTCTGTGTTCTCCAGGTCGTCTGTTTCTGTTGGTGTGGGAGTGAAAAACGTGGAGGCTGTGATTAGCGGGCTGAGCCCGTGAGTGAACCTATGGCAGAGAGACAGCACAGTGCAGGTAAGAACTGCCAGAAACACAGAGAGACAAACAGACAATATGTGCCTGACAGCGACACAACAAAACTGGACAAACTGCATGAAATTCCTGGGGAGGCAGCCTTCTGTTGCAGGTCATGGTACAACGTGACTAACAATCTGAAGCTTGCCAAGCAGCTTTTAGAAGCTGCAATCTGTTGTGCCCAACAGTAGAGTAGTAGATAGTGAGAACACAAAAAATATTATATTGATGTCAGACCGAAACTGAAAATGATATTTGAGAGTTTACAGAAGAGTCACCAACCACCCGAGTGGCTCTGCGAGGCTGTGGATGCTATTCCTTCAGCTAAATCCTACTGTCAGTATGCTAACATGCGAACAGTGGTATTGCTGGCGTGATGATGCGTAGCAGGTGTAAAGTTTAGAGGCTCATAATGACAGGACATGAGAAGCTACAGGAATCACCAAAGTTTTTGTGAAAATGAAAATGTTTAGGTAGCTGATGATGACAAGAGAGCAAAAGTCAGTGGACCCTTTTGGAATCAAGTTTCATGGAAATCCAGTTTGAGACCAAAAACATCCCCTCCATGCTTAAGGATCACCACAATCAATAGGATTTATCCTCTGGGGACCATCAATATATGTAAAAGACACCATTTAATCAGTAATATTTAAGTCTGGAACCATCAGAGTGACAATACTATCTGTAGAGAACATGTCGTAATCATGGATAATATTTGAATTTGTTCTCTTATATAAACCCACAATATAGTGTAAAGAATACAAATGCCTTAGGTTTGGTTATTGTTGAAGTAGTGGGTGTGTGGCGTCTTTAATGCTTAGAGTTCTTCCTTAGTGTGTCAATGCAGAAAGAATTTCAGCCAAACTTTTCAGTCAACACTCTCAAGTGCATCTAATAGAACACCTTTTCCCAGTATAGCATCCAAAATAATTGGTACTTCAGAAACATTCTGCAAGACGTAGACCCTTCTTCCCTGGGTGACTTGATCTTTGAAACTGGCCATGTGTCTGGTCCATCTCCATATTCCAACTGGGGAATCCCCCCGTTCACTCCCACCTTCCTCCTCCTTGTCATTTGTCTTCATTTCCCTCTATAACCTGCACCTTATTCGCCTGCATTCACCTTGACAAAGACCCACACACAGCATAACCCCCTAACAATACTGTTCCATGAAAACAAAACACCGCCACCACTCCTCGGATAATCTCTCTGATGATTTATATTCTGATGCCAACTGTGTCTGGGACATTTGAATATGGTAATGTGTTGTCTGATATCTGCCTACACAGGCAGCGTAACAGAAGTGACCCGGAGCGTGTTTTTTATGCTTGAAGACTTGTTTCTTCTGCTCTTAGCACACAACTTGGGGACTGTATATATGCATTGTGTATACTATGGCTCTGAGCACTGCCAAAACACTGGTAATCTCCAGTTCAATACCGTGCTTGAACGCACCCAGGACTGATGCTGTTGCTGTTACTCCACTAACCTGCTACTCACACTACGCCTTCTACAGAGACACATGGCACTGTCCTCAGTATGCTTCTATTCGAGCGCTTGGCAGGCTGTCTAACTGTGTCTAGAATGCATAGTTTGTTGTAAAAGTTGCAAAAGGTCATGTCTGCTGTGGAGAGGCGATAATATGTTAAATTTGTCTGAACGTTGTAAATGTGAACCAACTGAGAAAATTATCTTTCATTGTCTGCTTTTAATAATCAAGTGTCTGGACTCAGGCAGTAGACCATAATTCACTTTTTCTCCAGCGCACTATCTCGGGATGAGGCCACTGAGCTGGGATTGACCCTTGCTGCACTCCTTCTGATTGGCAGAGAAGGACGCTGGATGGATGTTAGATATACGTTACTTCTAATTGCTGAGGCCTTTTGAGATTCTCATATCCAGAAAGTTGCAGTTAAAAAAAGACTAGTTTCGAGGAAAAATGGAGGGAGGGGGAGTGAACTGAAAATTGTCTTCAGGCTGAGGCGGAGCTGCAAGAACAAACACCAAAGGCTGCAGCTTTTATACTTTATATAAATCAATGTTTGCAACAAGCTTCCTGCACATTTCAGATGGTGGGAAACTCTATATTTCAAACTACATCAAGCAGTTCTCCTTGAGCTATTTAGATAAAGCCTCATTTCCACCCAAACAGACCGAGAGAATCACTTCCTCTACCAACTACATTGATTTTTCTTAACCATTTTTTTTCTCATTGTACTGCTGCCGTATTTAAACATAGCTAAATGTGCGAATGAAGACAGTTGATATAAAGATGGCATCCAATCAGTGCAGTTAAGACGATGCAGGTTTAGAGGAACAGCTGACATTTGCGCGAGGAGTCGGCGCGATGAGTGCTATGGGAGCTTCGTGGAGTTCATCATTCCTCGAGCTAATCCAAAGATGTCCTTTGGAATGACAGATGTTTGACTTTAAAGGCATTGACAGCAAATGCTTCTTTCATCTGCAGAAGGCAGCCATGCATTACCTTCCAGCCGTCAAACAGCAAATCAATCTGTAGCAACCAGGTTGGACAGGAGGCCACCAGGAGCAACGCAGTCAGATAAATAAATACATAGACAGACAGACAGAAGAAGAATGTCGAATGCGTCACACATTCTCTGGAAGTGACTATTTAAAAATCACAAAACAAGATGATTCTGTGTTTATGAAGATATTTATGGTTCAGCTGGTTTTGCGATGTAGTCACAACCCCTACTAAACAACGTGAGGAAAAGATCTATTTGTAATTGCATTTTTCAAAATAAAAGTCAATTAAAATGCAATTAAACTTAAAATTACAATTATTAACCCTCTGAAGACTAAGCAGGGATTTAAAAATAAAAAAATAAAAAAATCCCTTCCGTCGCATTTTTTTACTAACACGTTTGCATTTTTCATTGCAATATAAAGTCCTGCACCTCTACAGAAGCAGCATAACCCTGGCTGGAAGTAGAGAGAACTCAAAAAAATTCTTTATTTACTTTACAAATATTGAAAAAAAAATCTGAAATGCCCACAGTTGTAACAATACTTACATTTTAAAAAATGCTTACATATTATAGGTATTTTACTTATTTATTTTTTATATACCTTGATACCTTGAAAATACCTTGATTCTGTCTGTTTTTACACTTTCTGGCTCTGATAAAAGATGTAATTTTGCTATTTTGTTGTTGTTTTGTTTTTAAGATAGCATACATTTTAAACCTTGTGGGATTCAGAGGGTTAAACTTTCTGAATGTTTATAGCATATTAGCATGAGATTGATTTCTAAAATCATTTTTAAAAAAAATACTAATTATAATAATAATGCTATATGACTTGCTGTTTAGGTCAAAATCATCCTGTAGAGAAAAACTTACTGAAGTTGCAAGTCCTACCTTTTCTCAACATTGCTTTATGGATACAACTGTTTAATTCCAATGAGCATTATAGTTAAAAACAGTATTTGATAATAAAAGACTGCTGGTGGGTTACATTTAGCAGCTTACTACGATTGTGTGAGCTCACATATGTTGCAAAGAATCCTTTACCACACAGTATTAAACGCTGTAGATTCAATGTTTTTCTGTCTGTTGGCTCTATAACGCCGATGTTCCTTTGAAGTTTCAGATTTCTTTAAAAGCCACAGGAAAAGGTTCGGAGAGGAATGGTGCATTTTTTTTCTCAGGGCAATGAAATTTCCTGCAGACAGGATTTCATGTATTTTTCCCATCATATTCTTTCAGTCAGGTCCTCTTATCCCTAAAGAGCCTGAGCAGCGATTGCAGCTGAGTGGATCAATCTGAGAATTGCCCGTGAAATTTGGAGCGTTCCCAGGCTGAAATCCTTCTGATTACGTTTCACGGATAATGCGAAGGATTTTACGCGCCACGCCGAGTGTACACAATCTCTGGCACACCTTCCGAGTATCGAGTTGCATCCCCTTATGAACGACTCCGACGGCTTGAGGCTTGGAAAGTCTTTTCAAATCACCTTTCAGTTCATCCACATCTCCCGCTCAGGACTGATGCAAATGGGAGACCGAAATCAATGAAGGATCAGAGTCTTCTTCCACATTCGCTTGCCCAGTCGATTTCATTTACAGTCTAACTTTTCTTGATGCTTTGCCGCTCTGCTTTGTTCTCGATAATTACACAATCAGTCTGCCCAAGCATCAAACCAGTATTTGACAATGATGGTTGCCATGTTCAGCCGATGACTATCACATTCAAGTGTCTTGGTTTTTTTTGGGGTTTTTTTGATTAGTGGAGCTGGATTCTATTGAACCTTACATTGAAATCATCCTGTTTTGCAAATCAAAGTTCATATGCTCCAAATTTAAGTCCCCTGCAGCTTTTTATTCCTGCTGCGTCGACAGGGTGTGAGCACCAAAGAGTCGTCACCATCAAAAGACTTACAAATGTACCTGCATTTAGCAAGAAAAGGATTGTTCATAAAGCGTGATGCGGCTGCCATTTAGAATCTGATTGTAAATGTTGCTCATAAATGGCTTTTGTGAAACAGGCTCCTGGATGTAACACTAAAAAGTTAAGCTCTTGCATTTCCTTTCGCACAAAACTCAGCATTTCTCTTCATTTTGTGTTTAGCTAAGAGTGAATGAAGGCAGTCATAAGAAAATGTGACACATTTTTTCGTAAACTTTGGTTTAAAGTCAAGGACATACAAACGTATGTGGACTGTCAAATATTTTTATCCTTTAGTAAATTGAAGCTGTGTAATCAGTCCTGCTTAATGGATTGAAAGGTTTCAGATCTTTTTTCTTTGTTACTCAAAGCATTTTTTTCAAAGGCCTTTTTATCTCGATGCACTAAATACATGACACCTTTAAATAATATTGACTTTGCCATCAGCCTTCAAAAGCCAGTGTAGTGCTCAATGCTACCGCTTTCTATGACCTGCTTTATATTAAGCCGGCTTGTCACCCGTCATACCTGCTGGGGAGCGCGAAGAGTGACAAGCAAATCTCAGCAACATGGACTCCAACTGCTTAGTCTGAT